GGTGCAGCGGGCCAGGGCCAGCAACCCTGGGAGACAGGGAGAGAGTGCCACTTGGCCCTTAGTTCTGCTTCAGCCCCAGTCCCAGCTGCCCAGACACTAAAAGTCTGATTACCCGCAGTAACTGGCCTCTGCCACTGGGGGGTGGGAAGAGCAGCAGCAGCTGCTGGAGCCTGGAGGAGCACTCAGGGATGGCTCAAGTGTGGCTCCCCATCCCCTGTCCTGCCCCATTCACCCCCTCACCTCCCACCCCGGCTCCTGGGTGGGATGTGGACCAGGTAAGGGGGGGGCAAGTGAAAAAGTTGGGGACCACCAGTCTAGGTGGTTTTTTAAGGGGATCACTGCAGGCGACTAGGGGCAATATTGTAAATTCTGCCACCATTTTCCACAGGTCATTGAAGCCAATATCTTACTCCTGAGGGTAAGCAAGGATGCAAGGGTGCATCTCTTGTATGCGTGCGGCTTCAGACCAGGTCCCTGTGCTGCTCGCTGTATGCCACTTTGGTCCCTGCACAAATGATTGCCGATTGGTGCTGGAAAGTTTCCTACAGTGGAGGAAGGAACAAAGCAGCTCTGCCAAGGAACTTTCAGCAGTGGATTGACAAGTATCTCCAGGAAAGTTTCCTAGCGATCTCTCTGAGGATTCCAGTGAACTCTTGGAGCTGCACAGGGGAATGTCCAGCACACACAAACACAGCTAGTCTTGTACATTTCTATCCCTTAACCCACTTCTAGTGTATAACAAAGCAAAGGACAGCTCTACCTCATATAACTGAGCAACTTCAACTCAAAAAGATCACTTACCAGAGTTCTCCTCTCCTGCATCACGTGCACCAGAGATGGAGTGCTGGGACTGGCTCGAACCCTCCTGGGTCAAGAAGAGGTCCTGGCTCGCCACACTACTGGATGACCCAGTCACCTCTCCCATCTTGTCCTCCAACTTGACCTCCTCTTCCACCACTTTGTCCTCGGGGTTGAATCCACTGTCCACTGTCTCCAGCTCCCACATCCCCGAAGTATCCCCGGGTCTCCTGGCAATAGAGGTGGGGTTGCTGCCAAGGATGGCGTCCAACTCCTTATAGAAGCAACAGGACTTCGGCACAGCACCAGAGTGACAGTTTGACTCCCTGGGCTTCTAGTATACCTGCCTCAGCCCCTTTATCTTCACACGGCATTGATGTGTCTCCCATTTGTAACCCTTATCCAACATATGGATAATCTTCTGGTCTGGAAAGAAAGTCCCTGCTTGCAGCTTTCTGTACAGTCCAGTTTCCTGAAGATGTGTGTGTCATGCACCTTTCCCTGACCACCCTGCATTGATGTCAATGAAATGACCACAGGGATCCACACACGCCTGAAATACCATAGAGAAGTACCCCTTTCTATAGATGTACTCTGTTCCAAGATGGTATCCAAATTTGGGATATGCTAGCCATCTATCACCCTACCAGTTAAGTATCAGGGGGTAGCCGTGTTAGTCTGTATCTACAAAAACAACAAGGAGTCTGGTGGCACCTTAAAGACTAACAGATTTATTTGGGCATAAGCTTTCGTGAGTAAAAACCTCACTTCTTCGGATACCAGTTAGGGATTCCCATTGTTGTAAAGCCATCCAGTATTTCACACACATTGCCAAGAGTCACAGTCCTTCGTAGCAGAATAAGATTAAAGGCCCTGCACACTTACATTAATGTAACCCCAACGTTGGACTTCCCGACTCCAAACTGATTTTCAGTGGACTAGTAGCAGTCTGGAGTTGCCAGCTTCCGCAGAGCAATCGCCACACACTTCTCCACCGAGAGGGCTGCTCTCATTTTGGTGTCATTGCACCACAGTGCTGGGGCAAGCTCCATACACAGTTCCAGGAAGGTGGCTTTCTGCATCCAAAAGTTCTGCAGTTACTGCTCATCATCCCAGACCTGTATAATAATGTGATCCCACCACTCAGTGCTTATTTCTCGAGCCCCAAAATGATGGTCCTCCATGTGCAGCTGCTCCGTGAATGCCCAAAGTAATCTGGTGGTGTTTCTTTCCACGGCACATAGCAGGTCAGATATCTCGGATTCCTGTTCAGATTGGGTGCTCATGATATACTGCATGAGCAACCGCGATATGTTTATAACAGTGACCACAACAGTAGAGAGCAGTGTAGGATCCATCCTTTCAGACAGAGATGGTGGGCACACAGTAAACAGGGGCTGATGAAAAATGCAATGAAATGCAGTTGGAAGCCCATGGAATGATGGGATGGAAAAACTGCATCATGGGATGTTGAGCCCGCACTCATGATACATTGCAATCCATTCCACCTTCCCACAACTCCTAGTTGCAGAAGGTGGCGAGTAGCACAGTTGGATAGCCACCCACAGTGCACTGCTCTCTATCTTGATGCTAGAGCACCAACTGTGAATGTGCTCTGCTGACAGAAGGAGCATTATGTGAACATGCACAAATGATGTAATTATATTGGCGAAACTTGCATTGACAAAACTCTGTAGTGTAGACGAAGTCTTAAATAGGAAAAGTAATTATTGATAAGCATAGGCCCTAGTTCACGTTTTATGATTTTGTTTTGTATGTAACCATTTGTTTCCATCATTCACACTTGTTTCTATTTCAATCTCTAGTCTTACTTAAATAAATTTCCTTTTGTTTTACTATAATTGAACCCAAGTGCTGTGTGTGATACAAGAGCAGTGGGCTGAGGTAAAACTGGGGTACACTGTTCCTTTGGAAACAGAGGACCTGGCATTTCTGTGGGCTGGACACCACAGAAGGACACTTTGAAGGGACGCTGGGGCATACCTGTTGTGAACCTGCAGGGCAAAGGCAGGCTGATATAGCCCAGAGGAGAGTGCTTGAGTGGCTGACAGGCTGGTTGGGTGGAGCTAACACCAGCTAGCACAGACAAGATTCCCTTGTGCTGGAAGCAGGTGGCCAGAAGGAGGACTCACTGCCCCGGGTGCCCCGAGAAGTGTCATACATGTATCATATCCCACAACTTGATGTCCAGGTATTGTAAAACAAGTTGTTATTGTTTGTATCACAATAGTGCCAAGGAGCCCTAGTCATTGACCAGGACCCCATTGTTCTAGATGCAGTACAACCAGAGAAAAAAAAGATGGTCCCTGCTCCAAAGAGCTTAACTAGTTAAGAGTGACATTATCTTGGCCCAGGTTCTAATCAAAATGCACAGACCCTGACCCGCAGTAAACTCTGATGAAGAGAAATTAAAATATATAAGCTGCATATCACTTCTATTCCTCTGCTGACTACACCCTCCCTTCCACATTGCAAAGTGGGATTTTGGTGTAAGTACAACATTCCACTTCTTCACTAGAATCGTACCTATGAAAAGGACTCACTCACTGTCTTTTTTCACTTCCCCTTATGTCAGTCATAACCCTCAAAGTGGGAAAATGTTCAGTAGTTGTTGTTCACAGAGAATTGATGTGACACAACTGGTATGCTGGATAACTTGCAAACTTGTACATGTTCGTTAATATGAAAGTAAGATCAAAGAGAAGCTTATTTTAATGCTTTTGTTTTACTCTCATCCCTGAGCCTCAAGTACTTAGGTGGGTGTCTGGTACTGTACAAAGCACATGTATAAAAGAGTCAGAAAATGAAATATTTTAAAGTAAATCGATCCAGTTAGTGGACTGGAGAAGTTAGAAAGAGGAGGAGGTAGCTCAAGAACTAATAACTGTTTGGAATTGGCTTAATTGAAGGGATTCTAGTATTTAAGGATTGAAGAGCTGATAATGAAAGCAGGTTTAAAACTGGAAAGTATATTGGCATCTACCGTGCATATATGATAGGGTCATAATTCAGAACCTGAATGCTTATATGATAAGATCAGAAGTCCCTCACTTTCAAACTGCATCAGCCTTACCCAACCAAATCAGAAGTAACAATAGCAGGCTTCTAAAAGAAGGGTATCCAGCCCTCCTTGATCAGGAGCACAGGTCAGTTTTATGCCAGGTAAGAGAGAGGGAGAAAAGGGCAAAAAACGACCTAAAAAATTAGAGGACTAAATAAACAATAATCATACTTAAGTCTTTTTAAACTGGTAGGTCAGCACATTCCCCTGGATGTCCACATGACTGTGATCAAAATTATTTAATGTACTACTCCTTTTGTTGGAAAGTTCCCACAGTCAGAAATCCCCATAGACAGGAATGCATACCAGTCTTTGCTTCCTTACTTATTCAAAACTTTGTTTTTTTTTAAACTTTTCAGAAAGTTAGAGCTGTATAGTATTATGAAACATGATGCTCGATTACCAGAAGACTGTTCAACAGATAGAGTTGAAAAAGATTATGTTTAATCAGCTTTGGACTGTGCAACTGCATGTAGCAAAACGCAGCTAAAATTCATAAAATTTGCCATTGTGAAATATTAAAATATTTCAGTATAATAGGCAAATATTTTTGTAATTTTGTAATTACTTCTTAAATACAGCAAATCCTCATTATAATTTCACACAGGGAGATGGAACTAAAAGTTGCATATCCATGGAAAGTTATATCTACATTTGAAAAAGACTAAGAAAATGAGGCTACTTGTATCACAGTATGGTATGATTTTGGTAATGCTCTCTGACTGGCTTCATCACAATAAACGCCACGTAGTGCTCAGTGAACAGAAGAAGGAGGAAATCAGTCATGAGAGGTGGAATAGATGTTCGTCATGTGTTGCTAGCATGCAACTACAGAGCATCAGATAAAGAAAAACATCAACATTACATTCATGCATGACATTTTAGTTAGATGTTCTAAGTGAGTACCACAATCTTCAGCACAGATGTTGTCAGTAAGTATGCATTCCATCAATAAAAATTAATTGCATTTGGGATGTGGGATGTATAAGAGCATTTTTTCTGGAACAAGGATATTATGAGGCAGTTTTTCTATATCATAATTGGAACAGGCACACATTTGACATTTACTTTTACTGTAATTATAGACATTTCAATTCACATATTTGGTCAAAGATTTTACCTCTTGAGTCCCAGTCAATGTGTGTGATATAGCTAGATGCACCTTTGCAGATGCCAACTCTTTTGCTGGTAAGCACATTGTAAATATCTACAAAATTATCATGGGAAGCCACTGCCAGATATTTTCCTGAATCTGTAAAAGAAAGAAATCCAAGTTAACTAAAGTATATGTGAGTATTCTTGATATTATTATTATTATTATTACTTATTTCTAATGCAGTAGTACTCAAACACCTCAGTCAGGATTAGGGGCCCATTGTGCTAGGCTCTGTACAAACACATCAGAATGAAAAATACCTAATAGCCATGGTTCACATATAAAACAAATTTGCCCTCAACATTCCATTTTAAGTCTATCATTGAAAACAAAACCAAAAAACAACAACTTATTTTATCCTTTGACTGCACCTCGTGAAAATTTGATATCAGAGATCATTTCCTTTCTGTGGTGGAAAGAGACCATATCTTCAACAGTATCAACATTCACTACCAGAAAACTCCCATCAGTCAACCCTACAGCCAAGGCTTTCCCATCAGGAGAAAAGGCACAGCATCTTCCACCTGGAAAAGAAATTCAAAAGAAACACCTTATTGTTTATAATGTTGGACTGAGGAAACCAGCAATAATCTGCAGCTAGAAGGTCTCCCCACAGAAAAGGTCTATAAATTAATCATTTCTTAGGGTATGTATACACTGGAATCAGAGGTGTGATTGCAGATCATGTTGGCATACTGACACTACGGGTACATCTTCACTACCCGCCGTATCAGCGGGTAGCAATCGATTTATCTGGGATCGATATATAGCATCTCGTTAAGACGTGATATATCGATCCCCGAACGCGCTCACCGTCGACTCCGGAACTCCACCAGCACGAGTGGCGGTAGCACAGTCGACGGGGGAGCCGCAGCCACCGATCCCGCGCCGTGTGGAACCGCTATTCGCGTAGCTGAAGTTGCATATCTTAGATCGATCCCTCCCCCCAGTGTAGACCAGCCCTACCTTTAATCTAGATAGTACAGCTAAAAATAGCTGTGAAGATGTGGTGGCACGGACATGGCACAGGCTGTACACTCATCATACACACTCATGTTACTAGCCTATGCTGGAATCCATGCTGCTACATTTTCACTACTATTTGTAGTTGTGCTAGGTAGATTAAAGTTACCATGGATATGTCTAGCTAAACTGCAATCACACCTCTGAGTGGAGCGTAGTCATACCCTCCTAACCTTAATGAGACAGTCTAACTGCATAACTATTATTTGTTGGAATTTTCAGGAGGCACCATTTCAACAGTTACTCACTGCTTTATGTAGAGGAGGAAGGATGTATATCCACAATTGACCAGCTGCCCAGAAGTTGAAGTGGGGGAATAAAATATAAAGTTCACATTGCCACTGGATCCTGATCCTGACTGCTTTTTATCACATGGAAAATTATCTTGTCTGTAACTTGGTAAGAAAACTTTTTAAAGCAGAACAATAAACAATTTGTGGGCTTTAAAATGTCCTTAGGGAGAGAGAATGATTTTGTGGTTAAAACATAGGACTTGTAGAGTCAGGGGAAATGGGTTCTTTTCCCTCCTTTGCCGTAGACCTGCTTTATGCCAGGGACATCACCCCTTCTGTGTCCCAGTTTCTCTATATGCTCCTATTCCCTATCAACTTACTAGGGATATTAGAGGCTCAATTCATTTATGTCTGTTGAGTGCATTGAGAGACACAGATGGAAGGCATTATAGAAATGCAGTGCATATTATTCTTGCAGTATATACAGTCAAAGGAGAAAGTTACCTTTTTTCAGTTTCCTCACTGCTAACATGCGGTGTTGTGAGGAAAGTTCCCAGATTCTCAGTGTTTTATCATCACTCACTGTTGCACAGATAGGCAAGAGAGGGTGAGCTGCCAAGCCCCACACTTCTCCTTCCATATGGCCCTAAGGAAAGTCATAGAAGTTAAGGATGGATAACACCTTTTAATGTCTGTAGGCCATCCCCCTGCGAGTGCATTTTCTAGTGCTCTGTCTAATCTTTTAAATGTCTCAGATAATAGGGCTTCCACCACCTCCTTCAGAAGATGTTTCTCATTCTAAGGAAGGGTATGTCTACACTTCCAAGATGGAGATATAAATTCCCAGCACAAGGAGACATACATACACACTAGCTCTGATCAAGCTAGTGGGCTAAAAATGCAGCTATGGCAACGTGAGGGACTAGATGCCCCAAGTACGTTCTTAGTGTCTCTGATGGGCATGCATTCTGGGTAGCTAAACCCTTCACTGCTGAAGCTGCTGTGACTACACTATTTTTAGTGCACTAGCTCAATCAGAACTAGTTCAAATATGTGTCCTCGAGCAGGGAGTCATCCCCCCCGCTTCCCCAACTCCAACCCAAGTATAGACATACCCTAAGAGAACTTACTGTCAGGTCCTGCTCCTGATAATCAGCCTAAATGTACTCTTCCTTCATTTCATTCCATCACTACTAGGTGTAAACCTTGTACAATCCTAAACAAATTATCTCTCTTCCACCCTTCAATACTTGTACAGGAGACAGTTATGTCCATAGAGTGCTATCCTAAGATCCTAACACAGGCAACGTTCTCAATGATGTTTATGGAAGTTAAGCATTCTGCAGGATTCTGATCTGGTATTAGTCATTGTTTAGTTCTTTTAATTTTTTCTCATAAGTCAATCTTTATATCCCTTTAATCATTTTTGTTGCTCTTCTCTGGATTTTCTCCAGTTTGGATACAGCTTTCCAGTACTAGATACTGCCCAAATTACAGGCCTGAATGACAGGCAGGATGGTGGTGGTGTCAAATGTCAGAAAGAGAAACCAAGATTTTAATTTGGCTAAAAGGAGACAGGTCTGTAGTAAAGAGCACGTCAAGCTACCTATCTCTTCCTCATACCTTTTCAGTGATTTTTCTCACATGCATAAACAGAGGAATCTTGAGTATGAGTTGACAGATTATTTTACCTCTGGTGTGGTGTGACCACTCCTGGTATACTGTGCCCACAATTCAACAAGGATGTTGATACAGTGGAGAAGGTTCAGAGAAGAGCCACAAGAATGATTAAAGGATTAGATCACATGCCGTACAGTTATAGACCCAAAGAGCTCAATCTATTTAGTTTAACAAAGAGAAGATTAAGGGGTAACTTGATTATAATCTGTAAGTGTATATATGGAGATCAAATCTTTAATATTTTCTCCTCAATCTAATAGAGAAAGGTATAACATGATCCAGTGGCTGGAAGTTGAAGCTAGACAAATTCAGATTGGAAATAAGGTGTACATTTTTAACAGTGAGGGTAATTAACCATTTGGAACTACTTACGAAGGGTCGTGGTGGATTCTCCATCACTGACCATTTTTAAATCAAGATTGAATGTATTTCTAAAAGATACTCTCTAAGAATTGTTTTGGGGAAGTCCTATGGCCTGTGTTATGCAGGAGGTCAAACTAGATGATCACAATGGTCCCTTCGAATCTATGAGTCTACTGAAGGACAAGGTCAGATCATTTCCTATTACTGCGAATGATGGACTCCAGTTTAGCAATTTGCATTTTGTAGACATGGAAAAACTACACTAAAACAACAAAAGTTTACTGGTTCATCAGGACCTCTTGATTACATCTTACATATTTTCTATTTGTGCTTGAGTTGATATATGTATAACAGTAATTTTGTCTGGATGACATATTATAAAAAATTATTTCTATATAACTTTATTATGCTAGATGCAGGCACCACATATTTTCTTTATCAGCAGAACTCACCACAGAAATCAGGTTATTTTCATACAATTTCAGTATCACACTACATTAGCATTTGTCAGAGCAGAAATATATGAGAAGATTATCATTTCAAATGTTCTGATTAAAACTCAAGTACAAAATACATCTGCTCATACCCCACGTTGTTATGGCTATCACACAAGTAGCAGAAACTGCAAGGTTGCTTTACATGCCTGGAACTAATTCCATACAATAGTATTACAGATAAGAAATAATGTTTTGTAAAAACAGTACACATTTTAGATATAGCTATGATTTAATAAAATAGAATGTAAATAAAACAAAAGAAACATTTTGACTACTTTAACTGAAGTCTTATTTTTAAAAAGTGGCTCAAACTCCCCAAAAGTGGCTCAAATTACAATAAACTCCATACCTGAATTAAAAAACAACAACCCAAACATACAAAAGGAGAGCTTAAACAACTTTTCAGTATAAAAGGAGTGCTATCCTGCAAAGTTGGTACAGTTATTAAAACAAAACAACATCAAGGGGCACATATACTAGAAATTTGTAAAATATTTTGCTAAATCCATAGATGTTATAAGTCACACAAATAGTTGTCTCTCCACTTCTCAGGAAAGATGTAATAGCAGATTGCTGTAGTGAGCTGTCAGTTTACTAAAACTTAACATTTATTACAAAATAAAGTACAGAATATTTACTAGTATGCTATATGATTTCAGCATAAATAAACTGAACCACAACTATCAAAATAAAATGAACAAATTACGTTTTGTGTTGCAAAAGCCCTGCTTTTTAGTTCTTATTGTTATATATATATATATATATATTTACATAGGTCCTAATCCAGCTCCCATTAAAGTAAATGAAAAGACTCAATAGTACTCAAAGTTAATGGGCTCTTACTTGTTTTTCCCCCCTCAAAATTCAGTAATTCACAACAGGTCTCCAACTCTTCAGTATGAATCGTCAAGATCCTACTGTACATCAGTTTCTGAATGAACAGGGAGGGATGGCAAATAACTGACCAACAGTATTAAAGAAAACAAAAAGAGAGCAGTTGGGGAAATCTTAGGAATTCTTGCATTCTTATGAACTATTTGATGAAGAATACTAGATTGTACCTGAACAAGCAGAGTCATGGGGCCACTTTTATCAATTTCAAGTATCTCTCCATTTCTGGTCCCCACTAGTATATGCCCATGTCCTAAAGTGATGGCACGAATGGAGGGATTATCTTCCAAAAGTAAACCTGAAAGATAAAAAAAATGTGCATTTAAACTTCTTATTTGCAAAATCAAATATTATACCTTATATAATATATTAGTATTATACCTTATGTTTTCTATGATCAAAATCTATTTAAGATAGTCACACCATTAATATGTAAGATGTGCTTGTTTGTTAGTTAACTGACCTGTGGATTTATGTAATAGTTGGGAATGGGGGCGGGGTTGTGCTCTTCTGCACTGTACAGGGAATCCTCTTGATAATTTAAAGGCAGATATTTTATTATATTGTAAATCATTGTGTTTAATTGTATAAGGTGCTCAGGTGCTATAGCAATAAAGGTGTTAGTTTTGTAAATATCTGTACATATTATTTTGAAGACTTTGATCATATGATCCAAACTAGCACCTAACAATAATCCATTACAGAAGAAGAAACTGTATCTGAAACATCATAATTCACAGGGTTCTTTAAATTTACAGAGAATCTGCTTCTACTCAGAAATCTGGCCATGTAGACAGAGCACTTGAAGAGCTAGTTATTTAACAAGGAGAATGCATTTTGAAATGGTTGGAAAAATAAGTTGGTGACACTTTTTTTTAAATGCTCTTACTTATCCAAAACCAATGCCAAATGTCAGGAGAATGAGGGAAGAATTTAATTGGTCAACCGGTTGTTTTGGTAAGATTTTGATACTTTTCACACCATTTTACCAACCCTGATGCATATGTCCTTTATCAATATATTCTGAAAAATAATACCTTTAGAGCTAGGGGATAATGCTGATCTTTTAATAGCATATGTCTTCAGGCACCTCTCAAACATATCATCCCAGAGTGCCACAACTCCATCTTTTCCACCTGTTACGAAACCCTGCACAAACACAGTTTGAAAAATACAGTTAAATTCCAATCTTCTACATTAAAATGTTAATTCATAAAATGAGATATGTCCATATTGATCAAGTTACAGTACAACTTTTTCTTTGTTTGTTTTGCATAGGAGTCTCCCCCAAAATCTGTGGTCAGATTACAGATGTCCTGCACACAGGTATTAAAGCAGCAGAAAGTTCCTTCCCTAGAGCCAGAGGTGAAAGTAAGCCGGTACGCCCCGGTACAGCATACTGGCAAGAGCCGGTGCACTGTACTGGGGCGGCCTGGCTTCCCCAGGCGGCAATTTAAAGCAGTTGCTGGAGCCCCAGGCCCTTTAAATTGCCTCCAGAGCCCTGCTGCTGGAGCCCTGGGGTAGCAGCAGAGGGCTCCGGGGGTTATTTAAAGGACTGGGGCTCTCGCTGCCTCTACTGCCCTGAGCCCTTTAAATAGCCGCCGGAGTCCCGTCGCCGCTACCTGAGGGCTCCGGGGGCTATTTAAAGGGCCGGGGCGGTAGAAGCAGGTGAGTCCTGGGCCCTTTAAATAGCCCCCAGAGCCCTGGAGTAGCGGTGGGGCTCCTGGGCCCTTTAAACCGCTGCCGGAGCCCCTGGCTGCCGCTGCTACCCCAGGGCTCTGGCAGCAGGGCTCCAGGGGCTATTTAAAGGGCTGGGGCCGTAGAGGCAGTGGGAGTCCCGGACTCTTTAAATAGCCGCTGGAGTCCCGCCGCTACCCCAGGGCTCCAGGGGCTATTTAAAGGGGTAGAAGCACTAATGACACTACAAGAAAGAAGAAATAGTTTTGCCAGTTATTCAAAGTATCCTGAAAACAATATCTTCCTTGGATGTTGGAAGTTTTTCTTGTCTGTGTGATATTCTAATGAAAAAGGCATTAGTGCTATCCCAATGCATGAACAGCTTCATCATAAAAATAGGTTTTGTGGTGGTGATAGGGTATTAAAAATATTCTTTGTTACGCTGCATGCCTTCAAAGACATGGAAATGAAAGAAATGTGTACACAGTGAATGTATATTTTAGAGTTACAGTATTTTGGCTCATCTTAGAAAGTTATTGACCATAGGTCAATACATTAAATGTTGGCAAAGGAGCATATCACCACAAAACATTGCAGCTCATTATCGTCAATTACATTTTGTGTTTTTAGCCACATTCCATTTTACCTACTGAAATCTGTTCTGCTGATACAGAAGCCATGTTTTTAAAGCACATCCATTGTTTTCACTAACAAAACACAATGTACTGATGTACTTCTGTACAAAACGACAAGTGTCTTTTTTAGTATATACCCTCCCTCTCTATGCACTTTCAAAATCCTCAATTGTTATGAAAATAATGAACAGAAAACAGACTATATAAGAAGATGAATACCTTATCCAATGCATGCATAGCAAATACTGGTCCATCATGGGCTTTCACTGTCTTAAGCAACCGAATATCTTTCCAGATGTAAATGTCTCCAGTAGCAGCTCCAGAGAAAACCAGATCTTCTATTCGCCCATAAGAAATATTCATCATAGTTTCCAGTTTCCCGATATTTCCAAAGGTCCCTCGTTTAGATGTAAAACCTCCTCCTGTAACGTGAACAACATTAAGTCTCACTACATTTTCAGTTTGTATCCTCAGTGCTCCGAAGGACAAAAACTTGCTGTGAATGTGGAATACCAAGCTGGCAATACTAATGTTGGGATTTCAATGCACAGCAAGACAGTAGAATGTGGGAAATTCATGTAGGGCTACTATACCCCCCACCCACCCCCAACGCTGTGCAGAATTTTCTTCTACGGGTGATTATTTCAAGCTGCTGATGAATCTTGGGGATAGATCAGACGGAGAAAGTAGCGGTCTGGTTGGTGAATCAATTGTTCCACAAATCCACCTGCCAAATCTCCTTTTCCTCTGTGGTTGTGGGCACAGTAATGCAGAAGCTATGTATAGCATGAAGGTTGTAGAAGTGGGCATGGAGCAGTTCTGCAGACTGAGTGGGAGGATTCTGTCCTCACTTGACTGCCAGAGATCCATACTGTGCCATATTGTGCTAAAACCATTTGCTTGGTACAGAGGTCACAGCTTGGGCCTAAGAGCACAAAGAATGAAAGATCCTCGACAAAAATATAAGTACAATATGTACTAGGATAATAAGGAAATAATATAGAATTTGATTAATTTGCTTCAATTTAAACATATAGGCTCATATTCAGATACTCTTAACATGAAGAGTGGCTTATTCCACAATAAGTCTCATTAATTCCAATGAGTCTATCCATGGAAAAAGCTGCTATTTAATGTGAATATATATACCAGACTTTGTCCAGTAATACTGCATGTGCTTTTATTTTATTACAGTAATACAAAATATAATAAAATCTTGTCTTCTTTAATCTGTTGGTACCTGAGCCATTTTGGTGTTATAAACCAGCATGGCATCTTGTAAACTATGTCATTCTGAGTTAGCTTTAGTTCTAGTTTTAACTATCCCTGTACTGCCTGTCTTTATTGATCTTAACATAGCCAAGGTTTAATCCAAAATTACTTTACATAGTACTTCATGAATATGAGAGTAATAGTCCTGGAGAGTGGGTCAGCCAAAATCCTTACTCAAAAATCAAGTCTACGTGTTTGCTCTCTCTCCTATCTTTGATAGGACAGTCAAGAAGAATGGTGTCAAGTATCAGAGGGGTAGCCGTGTTAGTCTGAATCTGTAAAAAGCAACAGAGGGTCCTGTGGCACCTTAGTCTCAAGAAGAATGGTCACTCCCAGTCTGCAAGGCTTGCTTAATAGTTTGCAGAGTGTAACAAATGTTCTTAAGCTGGTAAAAATCCTGTGTGTGTGTCATACATAGGCATGATACTGTATTACTATGAAACAATATCATGACATGGCGAAGAAATTTTTTTGCCCATAGGATAAATGTAAACCATCACAACTTATGCAAAATAATTGGTCTCCATTTTTTTTTCCAGGCAGTAGGTGTTTTGAGGCCACTCACAAACCCAGCTGTTCAGTCTGGCAACTTGAGTCTAGGCTGCTGTGTCTTTCTGATGACTAAAGAAAACTCTATCTGGAAAACATGAGGATTACAGAACTGTTATGATGGTAGCTGGAATTCAAACACTACCATTTTTAGCAATCCAGCTTGAGGTCATTAAGGCTCATAACTACCAGCTGGCTTCCCTATGGGAAAGGTCACACCTCTTGTCTCTACATCTGGCCAAGTGGCTCAGCCAAGTCACAGGAATGCATCTTTTCTGAGAGCCAAAGAGGCATGCTCAGTGGACTCTCTTTAGCATTATGATTAGAGTTAATACAGCTATTAGCTGGAGATGGCTTCCAAAGAGAAGGGCAGGAACATGGTGTCATTTGCAGACCCAGAAATAGATTCTGCAGTTCTACTGTATTTTGATTACTAGAAACTTCAGATAGACTGAGACTCCTGATATACAAATGCATTAAAATATTAACCCAGTACAGTACCTGCTTGTTGCCAAAATTTAATATGTTTCATCCCAACTGTGACTAGTTTGTCTACATGATGTGGGTTACACTTCACTACAAATATTTTATCTTTATGGCCCCTGCAATAAACAAACACATGATAAAAATGACTGAACATATTTAAATAAATAATTGTATACATTTTTGAATGTTTTACAATTTTCTACAAACCAACTGCAAACAAGTAGATTTTGGATAAAAAGATTACTTACCCATACCGTAACTCATGTTCTTTGAGATGTGTAGTTTGTATATATATTCCACAGCTGGTGAATGCACATTTAGTGTGCATGCATCAGAGAATTTTCTAATCAGCAGTATTTATTGGGATGGCGCGTGCAACCTTCCTCTCCTCATGCATTCCAGCAAAGTTGAAGTCACCCCACCACACCTAGTTCCTTCGCTACTGGGAGAGCCCATGACATCAGACTGGTGGAGACATCCATAAGATGCCTTTCAGTATTTGTCATAGGTGGAAGAAGACTGAGGATTGGTCAGTTGGTGGGTGGATAGTTGAAACAGCTGCCAGATGAACCTGCAGCAAGCTTTGCAAGAGCCCAGAGTGCTTCAGGTGCCACAGGTACTGTTGCAGGGTGGTCTATCCAATCAGCTGGCCTCATAATTAGGCCCTGCTGCTTTAGCATCTCTTTCAGTTCAATGTGTTAGGGACCCCCTGAACAGGATTCAGCTTGGTCAGTTTTCTTAAGAACATAAGAACGGCCACACTGGGTCAGACCAATGGCCCATTTAGCCCAGTATCCTGTCTTCTGAGAGTGGCGAATGCCAGGTGCTTCAGAGGGAGTGAACAGAACAGGTAATAATCAAGTGATCCATCTTCTGTTGCCCATTCCCAGCATCTGGCTAACAGAGGATAGGGACACTTCAGAGCATGGTTTTTCTCCCTGCACATCCTAGCTAATAGCAATTGATGAATCTAACTTCGCATGAACTTATCTAGTTCTTTTTTGAACCGTTATAGTCTTGGCCTTCAGAATATCCTCTGGCAAAGAGTTCCACAGGTTGACTGTGCGCTGTGTGAATAAATACTTTCTTTTGCTTGTTTTAAACCTGCTGCCTATTAATTTCATTTGATGAGCCCTAGTTCTTGTGTTATGAGAAGGAGTAAATAACACTTCCTTATTTACTTTCTCCACATCAGTCATGATTTTATAGACTTCTATCCCCACCCTTAGTCGTCTCTTTTGCAAGCTGAAAAGTCTCCTCATATGGAAGCTGTTCCATACCACTAATCGTTTTTGTTGCCCTTTTCCAATTTCAATATATATTTTTTTGAGATGTGACAACCAGACCTGCATGCAGTATTCAAGATATGGGCGTACCATGGATTTATAGAGACGCGACATATTTTCTCTTTCTTATTGGTAGCTCCCTAGTCCTGCCCATCCCAGGGCTAGACGTAGGGGAATCTGATCTGGATAAGAGAACCCGGGCGCTGGTCCTGGCCCATGGACCTGAAAGTGTGACAGTGAGGGCTAGCCTACCCTTCTGTTCACCTTCCCCATGGCCACTTCCTAACCCACCCAATGCCTCAGTTTGTGTGTAGCTGCTGTTTGATTATAGTCCTTTGTTACAAACCTCCAGAGTCTTGGGGCTGATGCATGCAACCCTCTGGTGCCCTGCACATGGTCTTGCTATCTCTGGGTGACGTGGCTGAGAGGTAGACCCCCCAATTAGCTTTCTTTTCAAAGACCTCTGCCTGAGTCTCGAGGGCACAGGTTGCCTATACTAGAGAACAGTGGCTGCTGCTGATAAAGTTGGGGCCTGAAATGCTTTCTCTAAGGCAGCCCTAAAAGCCTTGAGGGATCTCTGCCTCATCATCTTCTCAAGGAAGACTGAGCAGACCCTAAATAGCAAGTCCTTAGGTGGTGCATCGTAATCATTGTTGCCATTGCTCTGAAGGCCATGCCTGCAGTGTGCTTCTGGCCACCATATGTCCTTCCACAAGGATACTCTGGAAATTGACCCTGCAATCTTGTGGCAGCCTGTCAATAAACCTCTGTAAAATGCACCAGTTGATGTAGTTGTAGTCTGCCAAGATCACCTCGAAGTTCGAGATCCTCATTTGGAGGCTCAAAGTAGAGTAGGATTTTCAGCCTAGCAGGTCAAGGTACTTTGCTCCTTGCCTTTAGGATTCTATTTCTGGTGTCCCTGATGGGTTCTCTCATTGGCAACCATTACCACCAGGGAGCCTGGTTACAGGCACAAATAGAACTGTTTATATCCGGTTGCTGGGACTTGGTATCATCTATCTGCTCATTTTGATATTGGTGCCAATGAAGCTGGTGTCTGCCAATAGCCCCTCATTGATTGGAATTGTTATGCATCCTGGTCCCAACGAGTGCAGGATATTAAGGAGCTTGTGTGGCAAGTCCCATACCTCCTCAGTAGCTATCTCCAAGGCCACTACTACCCACCTCATGAGGTCTTGGAACATCTTGTAGTCCTGGGGAGTAGTAACCAATGCCAATGCTAGGGCATCATCTAGAGATGATGAGGTCATGGCTAATATCATCTGCCCTTCACCCTAGATATGCTGTACTGGAGCCACCCATTCCTGGCTCTGGTCCTGGGGAAACACAGGGAACGAAGACAGCCTCTGGTGCGTTGGGACAGTTTGAGCCTTGAATGTGCCAGAGAGGCTGGGCCCAGGTACTACTCTGGTCCCAAAGGGGCCTACATGTGTCACATGTCACAATCACATAGGTCAGGGGCCACAGTATTTAATACCAGTGGTCCTGATACAGTGATAGATTGGTACTGTGCGCCACCTTCTGCCATAAGTATATACCTCTCAGCACCCTGGGCAACATCGAAACTGTCAATTGGACAGGGATGGCTGTTGGCTCTCCAGCAAGTTATAATACAAAAGGGCATAGTCCTCCAGGAAGGGTGGGCTCACCTGGTGGACAGAGAGAGAACCTGACTAGAAGGTGGAAACCTTCAAGTCACTGGGTCCAGAAATCTGGACTGTGGGGCTCCAGTTTCTGCTAGGCTGTCAGCCCTGGTGATGCAGCCTGAAGTGGTGGAGCACTTACAGATCAGTGCAACAGTGATGACACAGGTACTTGTGCCTAAAACAAGAGCATGGTCCTTACTGGAGACAGGCTTCTACCACACTAGCCAATGATCGTTCCGACTGTCTTGGTACCAAGGAGGTTAATGTATGGCTGTCTGTCATAGCCAATGATAATGTCACAGCATCTCATGTGTTCTCTTGTGACTGTATAGTTCCATCTGCAAGGAGCAAGGTCGTGAACAGATATCACATAGGAATGTGTAGGCTCCCAATGAAGACTTGACATGATGCTTGGCCCTTTTTTCAATCAGTTTTTCCTGGCTGTCTTTCTCAAAGTGTTTACAACCTGTATTGATAGTTGCTCTTCATTCTGGTCTGTCCTTGCCTGCGTCTTAAAAGGTATCAATATTTATGCTACATGAGTTGAGCTTCTGCTTAGGGGTGTCTTTGAAGTATTTATGTTGACCACCTTTCATGCATTCTCCAAGTTTAAGCTCACCATAGGAGACTTTTTGGGGGAGTCTATCATCAACCATTCTGGTACCATAACCTATCCATTTAAGCTGAGTTTTGATCATCATTACCTCAATGCTGGTTATTTTTGCTCTTTCAAGGATGGATATCTTGTCAGCAGACCTTCAAGATAGAGCAAAGATAGTGCATATGACATTTTTCAAGTTGCTTGATGTGTCTGCAGTAAGCTTTCCACATTTCACACCTTTATAAAAGAGATGCTATCACTGCTGCATTGTATATCGTCAGTTTTGTTGACAGTTTGATGATATGCTAGTTGAGTAGCCTATAGCGAAGTTTTCTGAAAGCCTGGCTTGCCTTTTGTATTCTGTGTGATATTTCTTCATCCAGGGAACCATCACTTGAGATGGTACTGCCAAGGTATATAAAGTAATTGACTTTCTTCAGATTTGTACGATTAATGGTGGTGTTTAACTCAGTGGTAATGGTTGATGGAGCTGGCTAAAGAGGACTTCAGAGTTTTCCAGCATTATGATGAGTTGAAACTGTTTAGTTGCCTCTGAGAACCTGCAGGTTAATACAGACATGACAGTGTTGGGTAGGGCCTCTATTGCAGCCAAGTGTATTTGGTGGGTACCTGCTCCAGTGCTCAGGGAACTTTTCCTAAATTTTGAGGCACCCTTAATATTCAACAGCTTGGTAGCCTTATACAGCCTTGAAAACAGATCAGGGGAGATGATCTTCGCCTCCTCTCCTTTGAAGACCTGAACTCCAAGTTTGATCAGTCTCTGTGCTTCCCAGATAAGGAAGCCACAGGTCTGACTGACCCTGCAGCTAGTTTAGAAGTCAATGCCATGGCACATTTTGATGACCTCCAGTCCCTCAAAGACCCAGATGCCTAGAACCCATGGTCAGAGTCCAGCCTCATCACCTGCTGCATGATGAAAGCCCTTAGATGTGCTTCTCTCAAGCGGTGAGTCAGCTTTGAGAAGGACTTGCAGATGTCACAGTGTTCCAGGGCATGTCTCTTGATGAAGCAGAACAGATACCTTGTGTGTCCATCATTCAGAGGCATAACTGCCTCACAGAATGGAAAGTTCTTAAAGCCTAGGGACTTGTTGCACTCAGCCATGGTGGCCAGTACCACTGGTAACTGCAGGAAAGGGAAAGGGAACCCCTCTCCCCACAGGGTCCCATAGGCCTACCTAACTAAACCGACACTGCTAACTAACTACAATGCTGAAGTGGAGGTAAAATCCAAAGAGAGTTGCTTTGACATGTACCACAGGTAGCAGAAAGAACTTGCATGTGGTGAGGCAGCTCTGGAAGAAAGGAGGGATGCATGCACTGCCCTATTGGATACTGTTGATTGGAAAGTTCTCTGATGCATACACACTGGACGTGCACTCATCAACTGTGGAATATGTATACAGGCCAGTGCTCGAGGAACTAATAACATTAACTCTGAGAAACTAAACAGACACTAGTAGTGGATTCATATGTATTTTGGGCCCTGTACCAACCCAAGGACTAGAAAAGGCTATGGAACTGTTGCGTGCCCTACTACAGGTTGGGGTTGGTTTCTGTGATCCCTGACCCAAGCTTAATTCTCCCACCGTCTGTATTTTCTCAGGCTTTGTGTGTATGCCAATGTTACAGAAAAGAGTGAGGGAAGCAGGGCAGAGAAAGAGAGCACATGCAAAAGGAGGATTAATTTTGCCCTCTATGTGTATATTTTTCAAAATAATTGCTTCCATGCTCTTTTTCAAAATGCAAATTTATAAAACAGACCATCTCTTACAGGAAGTGGAATAACCCCAAACTAGTGTATGCTCTTGATGGAGAAAAACTATCAATAAGGATATGGAATAAAAAAAATTAAAAACCACCTAAGTCATTTAAACATTTTTTAAAATTATAAAAAATAGTTGCTAGTTAAAAGAATTGAATTACAACTGTAGTGCAGTGGACATAACACTCAACTGGGAGTTAGGAGGCCAAAATTCTATTCCTAGCTCTTACACTGACTAGCTCCATGACTTTGGACAAATCACTTCACTTCTCTATGCCTCTGTTTTCCCTCCCATGCTTAGTCTGTCTTGTCTAGAGTCATAACTTTTCAAGATAGAAGAGATCATTATGATAATCTAGTCTGACCTCCTCCATAATACAAGCCAAAGAATGTCACCCAATAATTTCTGCATCAAATCCACAACGTGTTTGAACTACATACATCTTGTCTTTCAGAAAGATATCCAGTTTTGACTTAAAATCTGTAAGTGACTGAGAATCCTTCACATCCCTGAGTAAGTTGTGCCAATGGTTAATTAACCTCGCTTTAAAAAGTTGGCACCTCAGTAATCTGAATTTGGCTAGCTTTAACTTCCCATCATTGGATCTCATTATGCATTTTTCTGCCAGAATGAGGGTTGGCAGAATGAAGCTGTAACAGAGTTGCTTGCCTTTGGACTGAGGAGCTGGAGTCAAGCCAACCCTGATTACAGAATGAGCCCCACCTGCAGGGAATGAGACAGTTTCTGATAAAGAACAGAAGGTGGCTGCAGTAGGAGAGGAAGACTGTGTGAGACTTGAGAAAGGTCTCCCTGAGACCAGAGGAATTGCTCCAACTAGGAAGGGCTGAGGATAGCCTGCTAAGCAGGGGCGGCTCTAACTTTTTTGCCACCCCAAGCATGGCAGGCAGGCTGCCTTTGGCGGCGTGCCTGTGGGAGGTCCGCCAGTCCCGGGCTTCAGCGTACCCACAGACGAATTGCCGCTGAATCCGCAGGACCAGGAGACCTCCCGCAGGCACGCCGCCAAAGGCTGCCTGACTGCCGCCCTGGAGCTAAGGCAAGAAGGACTCTGACCAGAATGGGGGAGTTTGGGCTGTATTAGATTGGAGAAAAGACTTTGTTTTTAACTTTGAATTTTAAGTTAATAAATCAGACCATAAGGAGAGCTTTAATGACTGGACTAGGAAAATTCTGCATGGAGTTTATTTGGGGATGCAAGAAGGGAGGTGAGGCGCTGTGTGAAGGGCTGCCCTAGGGCCACGAGGAGGGGCTCTGAGGCAGTCACTCCTCTACAGTATACTACAATATAGGAAACAGACTATAGCTAAGTGGTAAATAATTCAGAAAGTGTAGGTGGAACAATTGACTTTGAGTCTAGTTAAGGCTTAGAGCAAGAAAATAGGCAACAAAAGTCAATTCAATTAGGCAAAGATGTAAAGGATGTATAAACAGACAGATACGTAGGCATTTTAAAATATTTAAACAAATCTGGCAAGGAGGACTAGGAAATGTGAAATAGGATGACACAAAACAAAATAATAATTAGAAGGACAAAAACTAAAATTATATTTCAGAGGATAGTTTAACTAGCAGCAAATAAGTCTTCAAGCCCATTCTCAGGTAATTACAGTTACAGTTGTTTGAGTTCTGGGATCTTCTATGTTCAGTTTTGGACCTGTGCAAAAAAAGCAATGCTAGATGGGCACTAATGATAATTTCTAAATTCAATGTGTTGTCAATCATCAAGGGTAGAAACTGATACTTTATACCAGGGGTTCTCAAACTGGGGGTTGGGACCCCTCAGGAGGTAGCAAGGTTATTACATGGGGGGTCGTGAGCTGTCAACCTCCACCCCAAGTCCCGCTTTGCCAGCATTTATAATGGTGTTAAATATATTAAAAAGTGTTTTTAATTTATAAGGGGGTCACTCAGAAGCTTTCTATGAAAGGGGTCACCAGTAAAAAAGTTTGAGAGCCACTGCTTTATACTATTAGTATTTTAACACGAGGATTCTCAGCTTTCTAGAATGACCATGTAATTTGTTCTAGATAGGTCCAAAATATCAGACCTTAAAAAAAGTCATATAATTCTGATGACCCTCTTGATTTTAACAACCATTCTCTGGTGAACCATTAGAGACAGAAACCAATTCTTTATACCCCAATGAGTAACTTGGCATCCCAGCTTTCATATGATATGGAACAGTATTTCTCAAACCTTTTCAGCTGGGCTACCCCTTATTCAAAGTAAAAAAATTTCATGAACCCTTTACATTTACTATATAAGGAAGAGTAAAAGATGTATCAAAGAAATAATTTGTGTATTATGAGAAGCTGACAGAGAATACTTCCTTGAAGAGTGTGAGGAGAGAGGGAGCAAGATTCTCTCTCTTTCTTTAGTTTGCTATAAATTTTTAACACTTTTGTCTGAATCTTGCTACGAACAGAACTATTTTAATAAAAAGAAACAACTGCTATTCAATATTTTAAAATAAAAAAAAGATCTATCAGACATGTGACCTGCAGACCAATTCTATTCATACTATCTGTTTCAAGCAATTACAAAAGTTTCTTAACTACCACTGAGTTAGCAGCTAAGCTTCCTGATAGTGACTCAAAGGGTACAGCTTCACTACCCGCCATTTCGGCGGGTAGCAATCGATTTATCCAGGATCGATATATCGCGTCTCGTTAAGATGCGATACATCAACCCCCAAACGCGCTCACCGTCGACTCCGGAATTCCACCAGAGCGAGCGGCGGTAGCACAGTTGACAGGGGAGCCGTGGCCGTCGATTCCATGCCATGTGGACCCCAGGTAATTCGATCCAAGATACTTGGATCGATTCCCCCCTCCCCCCCCCCCAGTGTAGACCAGCCCAAAGGGACAAATACTGCAGAAACTGCTGATTCAGCAGGGAGACAGGTGACCTGGCAGTACCAATAGGCCTGGAAAAATCTGTTTATATTAGAGGAACCACCTCCCCTCATTGAAATAAAGCAGCATATGTACATTCAGAGGGAATCTTCATCCAGAATACTATCCATCATATAAGGGAAAATATACAATTTTTGATTTAAATGATTTTGACAATCCTGGGTCAGGGGATGAAAGAATGAAAAAAAAAAAATGTTACATGAGCCCTATAAAAGGTTATTCTTTTTTAAATTAAGATTCCAATGCAGCAATCTTCACAGAAAGGATAGGGAGTTCCCGGTTAGAAACAGTTTACATAATTTTACAATTTTAAACTATATATGCTAATGTTTTTTACCTAGATATGTTCTTCTGAAACATTACTCTGTTTTCAGTGAGATGTGATACTTTTTATTGCAAAAAATATCTTAAAATTTTTAGTTAATATTATACAGAGCAATGTAAAATGGTGATCAGAAATAGGCAGTGATCATTACAGTGCATGTTTGCATTTGGAAATATTCTTACCTTGTTGTGGCTATCTTTTCTCCTTTTTTCCAATCCCAAAATACAATGGTGTGATTATCATCTAACCCAACAGATGCCAAAAACTTCCCATCAGCTGTACAAAAATAATATACAATATCAAAGGTGATACTTCATTAACAGCTTGTACAACACAACAAATATACTGCAAATTGAATTTCAAAGCAGTGATAACATTACAGATGGAATGTTTTACGGTGGGCAATGTTATATCCTTGGGGGCAACAGTTTTAGGAAGAAATCACTGGAGACACAGAGAGCTGTAAACCTTGGAGCAGCCATTTATTGCTACACACAGAACTAACCAACAGCCAGCCAAATAGGCTGGGCTATCCCCAAATAATCTAACTCAGTTGCCAGAGCAACACAAGATTCTATTACCACGACAACCAAATACATAACAGGCAACAAATACATAATCAAGTACTCTTACACTGAAAATACTTTTACAATTCCTGATCCTCTGACATGGCACAAAAGGCCTTGAACGCAGCAGAAGGGTAAAATTGTATTGTGCCGGGTTGAGGTTAGGATTTGAGAAAATGTGCAAGGGTCTATACAGCTATATGGAGAAACCATTCATTCTACCATAGAGAGCAGGTTTAAGAGCACACCAGCTGCAAGTCTTGTGTGTAACTATTTGATCCATTGGCCAATTGACCACCATGAAAAGGGATATAGGAGGAAAGAATGGTTACTTACCCTATAGTAACTGGGGTCATAGGCACTGACTTCTCCTCTGCCCAGTGGGTTTTTTGGCCCCGCCCCTGCCCAGCCCCTGCACCACCCTTGTCCCACCCCCATTCCACCCCCTTCCCCCAAGTCCCCGCTCCTGCCCCACCACATCCCTGCTCCTCCCCGCCCTCCCGGAAAGTCCTAAGCACCGCCAAACAGCTGTTAGGTGGCAAGGGGTTGGGAAGCGCTGGGAGGAAGGGGAAGGAGCAGGGACACGGCATGCTCGGGCGGGGGGGAGAAGGAGGTGAGGAGGGGGGAGCTTGGCTGCCGGTTGGTGCAGAGCACCCGCTAATTTTTCCCCGTGGGTGCTCCAGCCCCGGAGCACCCACGGAGCTGGTGCCTATGACTGTGGTTCTTCAAGATGTGTTGTCCATACAGATTCCACTCTAGGTATGCATCCATCTAATTCATGTGAGATCAGATTATTTTTGAATAGCAATTCCACTGGGGCCATGCCTGCACTTGCATAACCTCACAACCGCCATAGCTGAGGGTATAAAGGAGCCTCAGCTGCAATTCACTTCCTTTACCAGTAAGAATCCCATATGGATAGGACTCTGAATTAGTCCTTAGGGAAGAAGAGTAGGCCATGGAATTTTTAATCAACACATCTCGAAGAACCACAGTTATTGTAAAGTAACCATTCTTTCTTTGAGTGATTGCCCATACAGCTTCCACTCTTGGTGACTAGAAAGCAGTTATCTCAAGCCTGGAGGTGGAAAGAGACGTCCTACTTAAAGAGTGACTGCAGGACTGTGCTATCAGAGTTGGCTATTCAATCTGGAAGTCTGTACCAGGGAATAATGGGAAGTAAATGTATTAACAGAGTTAAAGGTTTCACCCTGCATATTTCAGATATTAGTCTATTACCCAAGCAAGCGGCAGAGACTGCCTGAGCCTTAGTGGAATGGGTTCTAACGTAACTTGGATGATACTTCTTAGCTATCTGATAGCAATTCTTAATACAATCTGAAACCCATTTAGATAACCTCTGGGTGGAAATAGGTTGTCCTGTAACCTTTTTTGTGAAAGCCACAAACTGTTTGGGAGAGGATCTAAATGACTTCCAAATAAAAGGATAAAGCCTCACCAAGTCTAGAGTATGAAGTTTTGTTTTGCCTGGGGTGGAATGAGGTTTTGGGGAAAAACTAGTAGGTAGATAGATATGACTGAGGTGAAAATCCAAGCCTTCCTTAAGAAGGAACTTGGGGTCCAGCCTAAGTTTGACCTTGTCTTTATGAAATATGGTGTAAAGTGGGACCGGCATAAGGGCCTGAATTTCTGCCACTCTCCTAACTGAAGTAGTAGCCATCAGAAAGGCCATTTTTATTGACAGGTAGTAAAGAAAGCAGGTTGCCATGAGTACAAAGGGGGTTGGGTCCTATTAACTGAATGACAACTAAGTTGAATTCACAGGAAGCGGGAAGCTAACCAACAGATGGGAAGACATGGGTGAAACCCTTAAAAAAATCTCCCCATCAAGGGATGTGTAAATATAGTGTAATTCTGAACTGGAGGGTTATTTGCTGAGATCACTGTTAAATGTACCTTAATTGAACTGACGAAGTCTAGATTGCTTCAGGATAAGTAAAGAATTCAAAACAGTCAGGACTGAGGTTGCCAATGGCAAAAGCTGCTGCTGAACAACCACCATAGAAAATCTCCTCCATTTAGCACTGTAGGTCATTCTGACTGAAGGTTTTTCTGCGTTGTAACAAGATGTTTTTGAATTCAGATGAGCAGCTCCTCTCTAATGAAGTCATTCAGCCAGTGGTCCTGCTGGAGCTGGTTGCAGGATCTGGCCCTAGTTGTGGGAAACTAAGTCAGAGAGAAGGTGTAAGACAATTGACAAACAGGCTGGTAGACTCACCAGGATGGAGAACCAAAACTGCCAGGTCCATGCTGGGGCTACCATGATCACATGGCCTGCATTCTGTTGTAGTTTTCTAAGAACTCTGGAGCAAAATGTCTGACATTTGTTTTTGAGGTGTATAGCAAATAGGGAAACCCACCTGAAGATGATGTCATGGAGGACTGAGTCATTGAGGGACCATTTGTGATTCACTGAAAAATCCTTGCTGAGTTGATCCACCAGGTGGTTTTGTTGCCCAAGTAGGTAGAGGACTACTGGTGTAAAATGGTGAAGTATGCACCAGTTCCAAAGTTGTGTTGTCTCTTGACACACTGTGTGTTGGGGGAGAGAGGGAGAAATGTGTCCCCTCCCTGACCACGTTTGTTGATATAGTACATTGCAGTGATGTTATCTGTCAGCATTTGAATGGTGAGGCCTTGGGGAAGGTGTAGAAAGGCTTTGCATGCCAATCATATGGCTCTGAGTTCCAGGACATTTATATGTAGCATGGCTTTCCATGAAGACCATAATAATTGAATCCTGAGTTGGTCGAGACGAGCTTCCCATGCTTCTGTGTAGGCATCCATCAGCAAAGCCCAGGCACCAAGAAAGGAATTCCATTGCATAGCTGAAGTGGTTCTGTCCAGCAATTTAATGAGAATAGGACTTCTAGAGCAACTGTAACCAACAGTTTCATGCTGTGTCTGTTCGGTAGATATGCTGATCTCAACGACCCTTGCAGAGGCTAAAGGCAAAGTATGGCATACTGTGTAACAAAGTACATGCTGCCATGTGTCACATGACTTTAAGGCACATCTCATTGATGTTCTGGGAAATGTCCAAAACGCTCTGACCTATCATCATTTGGAATTTTATATGGCCTCAATGAACTCCATGGTCTGAGTCGGGGTCAAAGTGGATTTTTCCTTGCTGACATTTAGCCCCAATGAGGTAAACAGATGGAGGATATAATCCATCTGTTGGCAGCCGGTATCAAGTGTAGTGCCACCTGGGTCGGTCCTAGGGCCAGTTTTGTTTAACATCTTCATTATGATCTGGATGATGGGATGGATTGCACCCTCAGCAAGTTTGTGGATGACACTAAGCTGGGAGGAGAGGTAGATAAGCTGGAGGGTATGGATAGGGTCCAGAGTGACCTAGACAAATTGTAAAAAGCAACAAAGAGTTCTGTGGCACCTTATAGACTAACAGATGTATTGGAGCATAATCTTTCATGGGTGAATACCCACTTCATCAGACGCATGTGACGCATTCACCCACGAAAGCTTATGCTCCAATACGTCTGTTAGTCTATAAGGTTCCACAGGACTCTTTGTTGCTTTTTACAGATCCAGACTAACACGGCTACCCCTCTGATACTAGACAAATTGAAGGATTGGACCAAAAGAAATCTGATGAGGTTCAACAAGGACAAGTGCAGAGTCCTGCACCTAGGACGGAAGAATCCCATGCACTGCTACAGGCTGGGGACTGACTGGCTAAGTGGCAGTTCTGCAGAAAAGAACCTGGGGATTATAGTGGATGAGAAGTTGGATATGAGTCAACAGTGTGCCCTTGTTGCCAAGAAGGCTAACGGCATATTGGGCTGCAATAGTAGTAGCACTGCCAGCAGATTGAGGGAAGTGATTATTCCCCTCTATTCGGCACTGGTGAGGCCACATCTGGAGTATTGCATCCAGTTTTGGACCCCCCACTACAGAAAGGATATGGACAAATTGGAGAAAGTCCAGCAGAGGGCAACGAAAATGATTAGGGGGCCAGAGCACATGACTTATGAGGAGAGGCTGAGGAAACCAGGCTTATTTAGTCTGCAGAAGAGAAGGGGGGAGTGGGATTTGATATCAGCCTTCAACTATCTGAAGGGGGTTTCCAAAGAGGATGGAGCTCAGCTGTTCTCAGTGGTGGCAGATGACAGAGGGAGGGAAGAATAGCTCAGTGGTTTGAGCATTGGCCTGCTAAACCCAGGGTTGTGAGTTTAATCCTTGAGGGGGGGATTTGGGGATTTAGTTGGGGATTGGTCCTGCTTTGAGCAGGGGGTTGGACTAGATGACCTCCTGAGATCCCTTCCAACCCTGATATTCTATGATTCTAACAAGGAGCAATGGTCTCAAGTTGCAGTGGGCGAGGTCTAGGTTGGATATTAGGAAAAACTATTTCACTAGGAGGGTCATGAAGCACTGGAATGAGTTACCTCGGGAGCTGGTGGAATCTCCATCCGTGACAAAGCCTGGCTGGGAAGATTTAGTTGGGGTTGGTCCTGCTTTGAGCAGGGGATTGGACTAGATGACCTCCTGAGGTCTCTTCCAACCCTAATCTTCTATTATTCTAATAAATCAAGTCGGTTACCTGCTGTAGGGATTTTCCCTGAACCACCAAGTCATCTACATACGGATAAACCTGTATTCCTCACCTACAAAGATGTGCAGTCATTACAGCCAGGACTTCAGTGAAGACCTGAGGAGCTCTTA